AAAAAAGTAGCGTCCTATTTCCACGTGGAAAGGAAAATAAATTTTTAAGCTCAACGGTTTCTTCTTTTCAAAAACAATCCTAATTACAAAGAAAGACGAAAACAAATCCTGCAACGATGATGAAAGTTTACGCAGTTTTCTTCCTAACTATAAAGAAATTTTCCAAGCTAGCTATTTGTACAAGTTCTCTGGTAAGCGAATTAAGAGTTGGAAAAAATCAAAAAGGGCTTCCGCGAAAGAATCGAGTTTTTACGGTGTAATCAATTTTTATATCGTCGGAAATCTATTTGCATAGGTTTCCGCTAGCGTTTAGCTTTAAAGTTTTCGAATTAACCCCTTGAGCACCTTTCGCTGAGAAAAAAACAGCTAATTTGTTCTGCAGGTGAGCAATTTGCCAGATTAAGGAGTTCAGTGCTTTTTTAGGAACTGAGAAATACTATGTTTTAATTAACAATCTGCCTCAGTACTATCTGCGAATCTAGACTTGTACTTTTTGCATCTCAAGGATATTATCGCAATTAATTGCATTATTACGTTCTAAAAATTGTTGCTATACCATTATTCTTTAATAAATACCCTAATTTAATTTCGTTTTTAATTTCTAGACTCGCAGAAAGGATGTTTTGAAATTTTTTTTAGAAAAACGAATGAAAATATAAATATGAATATTTAACTGAATATAAATATGCAAAGTTTAATTGGGAAGGCTATGCGAGAGCTTATGCGAATACACATTATAAAATAAAACCACAAATTATAATAATGACTATTGATTAAATACATTAATCTTTATTAAATTAAATACACTAATTACATTGATATTCACATTTTTTATGATCCTGACAAGATTTTTTATGTAAATAAAAAAAAGAATTTTATAATAGCCAAATTATGTATATTAAAACTGTGATTGCCCATTTTAATACTTTGTTGATATTATATATGAACATCTTTAATAAGGTCACAGACGTTGAAGATTTTATTAAGTACTCGTCTCTTTCATTTGCAATGACCTAATAGATCAATGGTTTGCTGCAAAAATGACGTAGAAATTTGGTAAAATATGTGATGCAATTTGCGATTTCTTGAAATGTCATCCTATATTGGGATTTACGATCGTATTGTAACAAGCGTCGTGTCTGCCCTTTTTAAGTTCGTTTCTTTTGGATGTCCGCAGGATCCCAAACCAACAAAACAAAACAAACAAGAAGATGCTCCAGATTTAACTGCTAGTTGTATTTCAATAACAAAGCCTAGTTACCGTACCCACAGTAAGCTACCCACGGTAAAACAAGGTTGTTTTCAATGAAAAAGTAGGAAATAAATTTGCCTTTTCCCTATCGATTGTTCCTAATAAGAACCGATAAGTTTAAGTATTGATTTAGGCTAAGATCTACCATCTCACTGTACTGTAAAGTATCATCAGGTATCCAAATTTTCAATAGGTATTTATCTGCGACATTTCTTAATTTTATGGACAATTAAAAATAAATACGCTAACATACTTAATGTTGAATCGTAACTTTATATTAAGATGGAATAGAAATGTAGATATGCAGATGTAGACATAACAGGTACAACTAAATATCTTCAAGTAAAAAAATTCAAAAAATTCGAATAAATGATAAACGATAAGCAAGTACAGACCGCTAAAAAATGGAAACCGATCATGAATGAAACACAGATGAATTCGAATAACGAATGGACAATAAGCGAATGTTCTTAGGTGTCAAACTTTTCGTAGAATAAGATAGAAACATAACACGTGGATGGTAATTATTTTACAATATTTAAAGGAGAACATGAGTAAATTATGGAGAATGGAGGCTATCACGAAATAGCTGAAAAAAACTTGGAATCAAGAATAAGTCAACAGCGACTATTAAATATAGAATTCTTATGATGATGAACGGTACCATGAAAGCCATAGAAGCAAACACGTGGTCTAAATAAACACATCTCCTAGTCTGCTGAAGTGATTTGTCTTTTAAGCTAAATATCTTGATAAACTTTAAATAATCTTAACAGATAAATATCACCTATCATTACACGAAACAAGTTAAGTCTTAGAACATAAGTAATTTAATAAAGAAAATCATCAAGCAATTTGTAAAATTACATAAGTTTGTGCTAATGCCAAAATACATTGTAATTTAAATACTCTATAACTTTTTGTTGGAAAAATATTTCTTCGATCTATCAATGCACATAGTTATTAAGCTTTATGGTTTTTAATGGCTGTAAATCGTCATCAAGGTTTCGAAAAGTAAGTTCACGAAATATCCAATTTGTTTCCATGTGTCATAATATATCATTTTGCTTTTTTTTGCTATTGCAGATAAATTAAAGCCGAATCAAAGCGTGCTTCGGAGTTTGTTCGTTGGTGAGAGAGACTGATTAAAGATTAACAAGAACTAGAGATTTCGGTGTCGTCGTAAACGTCGAACGGCCCCGGTCGTGCAAGAATTATTAGCAATCTCTGATCCAATTTTCAACATTGCGCTCGTTTTCCTAGATATTGCCATTCTCTATACGTGAACTCGATGGGATTTTGAACAATATGACATTAGTATTGTCTACGGAGACCGAAGGTGAACAAAATTATTGAACAAATAATTAAATAGCTAGTAGAATTTAATTTGCTCTGTGGTTGCAAATACCTATGTATACATATATGTATCCGTCTATTCATATGTGGACTATATAATAGGCTATGTACCTGTATAAGAAATACATTACAGAAGTACATTAATACAATCTTATAGTTAATTTTAACATATAATACAGTATTTGCCTTCAGGATTATATTTTTTTTGTTTTTATATTGTAAAGCATTTTATAGAACTTAAAAGAATGGGATCTGTACCCATATATATAATTACCAATTAATATATACCAATATAATTAGCAGATTACCCGTACAACGATCTTTATGAATATACTCTGCTTTCAAGCAAATAATAGTTTCATAACACATTTACACTTGCCTTCTACTATGTTTCTCAACTTTCAAGTGCTATCGAAGTTGACATTTATGTTATTTGTAACTATTGCAAAGAATAACTTTCCATTTTTTGCCTAATATTTACTCATATACTAGAACGATTAATTTCATTTGTGCGTCCCTATCGATCAACCTCATTCTAATTACAAATAGACAAGCAATAATTTCTCTTCATACGTTACGTAATAAAATTATTAATTATTATAACGATTTTACGAACAACTGAATAAACAGCAATGTTTCTTTAAAAAGAAAGATAGCTTTAAATAGTAATTTATACTATGAAATTATTATATATAGTACAAGAAACAGCTTTTTTATTTCATTTCATTTAACGCTGTTGATATTTCTAGGAAAAAGTTTTGGTGGACAAAATAAACGCTTCACGAAATGTTGTTTGCACATGCTTGGCAGGGAGGGGAGAAAGGCAACAGGAGAAGAGGACGATGCAACTTTTACAATTGTCCGGTCATTTAAAATAGAGCAAAGTTTTTACGAGGACAGTTGCGCTTGAAGAAAACTCCGTAATAGTGGTAGGAAGCCAGAGTTCTTTGCTTTTTATGACATTATTGCGCGCTGGGTCTCTTTGACAAAAATCTTCCGTCTTCAGGCATGTTTCCTACTACAATGGTTATAGTCGCTAGATGTTTTTTCGAACAGCTTCGGTTTTCTGTGCATCAAAACTGGTCAAATTTTTGTCGGATGTTACTAACGAACCATGGGTATGCAAATATGTATCTTCGCACAACTGGTGAAAGAGAGTCTGAATAGAATTATTCTTCACATTTTTGCGCACTTAAATTTCTTGTAAATGAAATAAAATGAAAAAGTGAAATAATAATTTTTAAATTATCATAGAATGGAAAATTAACTATTTCAGAGCAAAATTTCATTTTATATGATGAACCTGTAGCCAATATATCAAAATATAAATGTAGGAAATAATGTAGAACACGAAAGAAAATATTGCACCGCAACCAAAGAGCGTCAGTAACATAAAAAAATAGTAGAAAAACAGAAAACACTATTTCCTCTCTCATAAAATGATTCATTTTCAGATATGGACACATTTGTTACATGTATACTTGGAAATATCACATACATTTCCCATTCATTGTTATAATTTATTAATATTTTATTCGTATATGTATATATAGGATTATGAATCATAATATATATATATATAATATTATGATTCATTATGGAAAAGAAATAAATGAAAAACCACTCATACAACTCTATTGAAAGTATTCTTAACACGATATGTATCTTTTATTTGAAAATATCGTACATATTATGGATCTATATAATATGATAATGAAACAATAAAATAGTTCTGTAACAAAAAGAATCATTGTGTGTATGTATATTTATATACTTTCTTTTGTAGACTTATCTTGCTGCTTATATATACGATGACCCCTTTTATTACAGGATTACTGTATTACCTTTTAAGATCGAAGTTAAAAAGTTACGATTGAAGTTAAAAAACTATGGACAAAAGTTTCGGCTCCGATTAACAATCGAATTCCAACGGAAGGTCAAAGTTGTTGAATTTATCCTTCTAATAACAACGGTCAGTGATGATGAAACTTTCATTAAAATTTTACAACCAATCGAAGCTTCTTTGCTTCATTCAACTTAATTGATTTACTATAAGTCCGTATACTATTTCATAGTCAATTAAGATACAATAGCGTGCGGAAATTCACAAATGTTCTATTCGACCGAATTTGCTTAGGGAAATAACGAGAGATAATTTCCACAAGCTTGCATGCATAAGATAATGGTGTTGCCTCATCTGGTGGAAAAAAATGCCTTTTTTAGCGAGAAGAGAGGGAGAAGAAAAGCAGGTTTGAACGGGAGAGAATGGGCAGGACCAGCGGCACCATTGGCCAATGGAACGCCACTGAGAACCTACCAATCGCCCACGCAGAGGAACGATGGTTTCTCCGGGTAAGGCAAGGCATATAAACTGCTAGTTCAGTACTCTCTGGCAAACTCTTATAACGCACGTTGGAGTTCCGTTGGGCGGACTAGTTTTAGTCCGTAGTAAACAGCGAAACCTTACTTGTGTGAAACGTGGAATGAATCTCCATCGATGAATGTTAGTGGGAATCAAGTTTGTAACAAAATAGATTTTAAGATATAACAGTGTGTTGTGTAAAATGAATAAGTGAATGTAACGTTTTATGAATAAAACCGAAATGCAAGGATTTCAAAGGAACTTTGACGATCAACAACGGGATCAAAGAGAAGATGAGACTATTGTGGTGGATCTTGTGCCTCCACAGTATCAGATAAGCCCTCCACGTAGCCCGTCGCCGAATATATCCAAGACTTCTGAAAAGGGTAAATATGAGATAAGATGTCCGTCAGGTATTTTTTAGTAAATAGTTTGTGCGAACGATTTGAATTTTGAAAATTCCGCCGTTCAGCGTTTCGCTGTTAAGCGTTCCATTGGTTTTACTAAAAAATGTCAGCTGTCAGTTTTAAGATTAACAAAAGTATCAGTCCTTAGACTGTAGGCTATTCGTCGATTATTTGGAATAGATTTGAACGTTATTAAAATTGTTAGATTATAATTAATATTAAACTGTATGTTTACATCGATAGGAAATGCGTAAGTTGGTATTCGCCGACGGGACGTAATAATGAACGGATAATCCTGTGTTTAGGGAACTAACTGTGCGCAAAGTTAATGTAGTTGATCATTGTTGGATATCCATTTGGCGTGGTTCGGTTTTGAAAATATAAATTCTATGATATAGAAGCGGTCTAAATGACCGACTTCCTGGTTTATCATAGAAATTCGTTTACAGTTATTTTCTAGGGAAAGATCGTTCTAAAAGAATAATGTATTGTTAAGAACTTCGGATTTTCTAAAGAAAATCATGGTACTCATTATCCCTTGTTTGTATTTCAAAAGTACAAATTACTTAATCATCTCATTTACGTATACAATTACAAGTACTGTTACTGGATATATGTACATAGGAATATTTATCTTTTCTTTGTTTCTTTGAATCGTTAATTCTAGGAATTTTCGAATTGTAAGATAATCCTATTATAGAAATACAGATAATACATATAATATGTATAATATATATATAAAATGTATAGTATATACATATGATATATAATAATAAAAATACAATAATCCGCATTAAATATTTGTAAAGCAGCAATAGGTTAAATGAAAAAGATTTTGATGCTGAAAGCAGCCTTGCGCAAAAGAAAAGAAAACACTAGAATGTAATGTTGCATATTAAAAATTCTTATAGCAATTATTAGCATTGTGGCGGGTCCGTATCAATAATTACAAGCTATTACATACTAGCAATTACTGCATATTAATTTCTCTAAAATAGAGTACAAAAAGAGAAAAGGATCGCATCGAGAAGCAGTTCAAATGAAGGCTAGTTATCGTTTTCTTTCAGTCTTAGCTATCGTTCAACATAGTTTTTGTCTTTCTCTCATTCATTCTCTTCCTCTTTATACGTCTCTAAAAACGATCATCCGCTGCTGCGGATTTTCTCCGAATTTCCGTACTTCTCTAAATGCCACGCAATCTTGCGAAACTATCGACAAGTATTCGAGAATGTTTAAAACGTTTTCGAATTTATTATCGATCTTCAGATGCAACGGTATCTCAACAGCAACCTCTATCATCGATGGACCCGAATATTAGAAGATATAGGACAGCGTTTACTCGGGAACAACTATCAAGGCTAGAGAAAGAATTTCACAGAGAGAATTACGTTAGCAGACCTAGAAGATGCGAATTGGCGGCAGAATTACATTTACCGGAATCGACAATCAAGGTAGTAAAAACAGAGATTATCAAACGATCAATTATACAAATCGTACCATCGTCTCTAAATGCCATTACGACAGAATGTTTATCGAAGATAAGCAAACATATTGCAATAAATTTCAGTAAACAATGAGCTCACCTTCCGATCTATGCGTAGAAAAGCGTTCTATTAACACCTCGCTGTGTTTAATTGATGTCGGTAATCGACAGTGACGATAGTACATATTCAGGAAAAAACCTTGAATATCGTTTCGTTTCGTTTCTTCGAGCAAACCTTTTCCTTCGAGTAGTTAAAACCTCTATTACTTATTAAATAAAATATCAATAAAGTGAATGGAAAGATTATTATATTATTTATGAATCGGAGGCCAAAATGAAAAGTATTTTCTAATAATTGAATAATAATTACATAAATATAGAAGTACATTAAATAGTAATTAAGAGTTTTTACTGGAACAGTACGAATAAGAACGTCGGACCGTTTTTACATAGACTGCCATGTTTGATTGGCGATTATAGCTCGAAAAGAAGAGAGGGAGACTCGCCAGAGTCCGCTGCCGATTCTTTTTCCTCCTCCTTCTTTTTTTTTTTATTCCACTCCGACGGCCAAGCAAACAGTCAATCACGGAGAGCAAACAAAAGCTTCTTGGTCTTTGGTTTGCTTCTGAATCTCCCTTGATCCTTTTTCCGTGACTTCTTAATTTCTTTCGACCACGACCGGTCGATCCGGTTCGAGGTGTTAAACACTTTAATTAGCGGTTTTCTCGTGTTACCTTTGACTTTAATGGATCCCTTAATTTCTCATCTCGCGCTGCCTGGACCGCACAATAGCTATAAAACCGTGTACCGATGGAAATGATCGAGGTGTTAAATGGTAGAAACGTTAGGCACCGGTCAACCTTCGTGTATCTCCGATCCTGCATCTTAACTTTGAAATCTTCAATATATTAAACCTAAGAAACATCTTCCGCCTCTACTTTTCCGCCCTTTAATCATTCAGCATCTAAATTTAAGCTTTACAATTTGTAGGATATAACATTGAAATGGATGCGATTTTTACCAAATCTCGAAAACATTATAATAAAACAACGTTGCGCACAAACATGAACATTCTTACATCACATATATCCTCCTTCTACCTTTCATCTCCGTAAAAATTCAATATCCAAATTCTAATCTTAATTATCTAATTTGTAAAATCAACCATCGAAATACATTTGATACAGCAGGTATCTCAAAAATAGCCTAAAACTTTCTCGCCTAAAGTTTTCCCTTCTACCTTCCAACCTCTGAAAACTTGCAACACATAGGTCTAACTTTAATCTTATTATTCGATTTATATTTCATAATTCTAATTTTAGCCTCATATCATATATAGTCATCGACACATATACATCTAATGTTCAGATGATTTCTAATGGTGTGAAAATAGGTGTGGTTCCAAAATCGCCGTATGAAGGATAAGCGGCAAAGAATGGCCATGGCGTGGCCGTACGCGATGTACACGGATCCAACGTTAGCGGCAACCCTCTTGGCGGCAGCAACGGCAAGTTTGCCACCTCCGTACCACGCAGCTCCGAGTCTACCACCTACTCATCTGGGCCACAGCTACCCAGCAGCGGCAGCTTATTACGCCACAAGATATACGCCGTACACTGCAGCACCTACGGGCGCATCCTCGCTTCATCGGCCACATCCTCGCAACGCGGCTGCGTATCCGCATCTCCTGCAGCCTCACCCTTCTCTACAACCCCTACATCTATCGAACTTGGGCGTTTCTACAGTGGGAAATAACGCCTTTCAGGTGAGCAACCCACCCACTAGCGCGTCGACCACTTACAGGCCGACGTTGTTACCCGAGTCCTTGAGTCCAGTTCACTCGGACGCCTCCAGTGACTGCGACTGCGTCGGGGTTCAGCATCACCATCCTCATCATAACAACAACCAACAACAAATACTCGAGAAAAGCTCTCCACCCAATACCAACGATAGCACCCAACAGCAGATCAAACTACCCACAGGTATCGGTACTAGTATTCAACTACCTCCCAAGCCGCCATTATTTCAACCATATACAATGTGAGCTAACAACAATAGAAACAATAAAATAAATTAGATTCCGTTTAGGGAATTAATTGACTGAGATTAACGGTGGCACAATGTATATAAACACCGATTGACGACAAAATGGTACCTGGTGAGCACGGTACATCGTGTGAATGTCTGTAAAATAATCTTTGTACATACGTAGATAAGTGTATAAGTGTTGATTAGAAGTTTAGCATATACTATTGCACAGATTTTTAGAATTAAAGTTAATTTAAAAAATTATTTAAACTATTCGTTCGATTTGATCATGCCCATTTTTACTACAGAAATATCCTTAAGGATGTTAATAAGAACGCGAAATAAGTAAACGGAAACATTGCATTTATGCAGTCAGCATACTACTACATTTAGGAGTCTAGTATACTTATAGCCTCATCCGCTAACAAATTGTAGTTTTGTAATTAATTGTGTGTATAATTAATATGTGGGATGGTGTGACGTTAGCGAAAGACGTGGCTGATTGGCTATAAACGTTGTTAAGGTATGTTAATGTTGTCATATTATATTCAATTTTGTGAGAGTGTTACAACATTGTGTTTATCATACTGTCTTTTCTGCTAATTTATAATACTTTCCTACGTAACACGTGGATGGCTACCCCCAGTGGGATACCATCTTCGAATTTGATTAATTTATTTCTTTAGTGTGGTGAATGTTTGTTGGGTTATGTCTTTTGTGAGATCTGTTGGGTGTTTTCTTTTTAATTTTCTTTTTATGTTTGATGCGCCGACGGTTACCGCTGCCAGCCGGTACCCTGTATATTTCTAATTTCTAATGATATCAAATCCTTTGTTCCCAAAAATGATTACTAAACTGACTTACATAAGGTAATAATAGGTTAAATGATAACTGAAAAATATCTGAAAATATAACCTATAGAACATCGATAAATTTATATAATAACATTAATTTCTATAATTACATTTATCAATTAGACGAAGTAGTCATTCTACTTATTTATTTATTTATTTATTTGTATTTTCTTATCAACATGTTTAATTACAATCTCTATTTGCCAAAGACTTTTATGACCAAGAAAAGCTTCCATTATATTTTTGTTCTGTAAAATTTTATTCTACACATATTAATTCTAATCTCCTATTTTACATAATTCTATATTTGAGAATGTTCTATAGATAATATCTATGGATAAACTATACTATTACTCCATTTAACTTTCTTTCATTATTTTATAATGAAAGCTCTTGTACGTGATAGCCATATTCTATAATACAATAGGTCATCCTATAAGTTCGTGCCGTTTTTCGAGCGGTTATATATGTTAAGATTGTTTATATACCTTCCAATTTTATGAAAAAATATAATGCCCCTCTCGTTGTACAACTTCTTCCCATTTTTCTGGTAGAGCCATTATTCCGTCTCGATAAAAGTTCTCTTGTTTTTCTTTAAAATAATGTTCTAAGCTATTTTTGAGAATGTCAATATTTCCAAATTTTTTACCTACTAAAAAGTGTTGTAATGCTCTGAACAGATGATGGGGCGATGTCTGGGGAATATGGGGAATGTGGTAAAATTTCCCAATTAAATTCAGACAATTTTTTTGTAACGCTTTTCGCGACACGCGGTTTAGCGTTGTTATGATGGAAAAATTACAAAAAAGAAAAATGTTATTCTGTTGAGATGTATAATTGTATGTATAATTTTCTGTGCTGGACTGGGTTAAATGCACAGTAGAGATACTCATATGTAAATATCAGTCTGTGGAAGTATGTGTGTGCGCAGCGTCTCGAAAACCAAGGAATGTAAACTGTTCAATAGGTTAACAGTCGGGAAAGTGCTGGGAAGCGTGCAAATGTGTATCGAGAAATATATAAGAAATCGTCCATGAAATGAATATATTGCTATTTTAATATTAATCCTCAGTATAAATTTAGTGTTCCTATAACATTATTTCGGCTTTAAAGATCCACAATTCTCAACATATTCTATATTTTCGACTTCTTTATTCGCGTAGAATCACCTCCTTTCCGCTTGTACCACCGGTTACCAACCATCCTATATATTGTATCAATGAATTGTATTATAGATTAATTACTTAGGTGTTCCTTGATTAATGTAATGGTTAATATTCATAAGAAACAGATTCTAATGACTAAACAAGTTAGATTTTGTCAAATTTCCGAAAAATTAAAGTTTTTTCATTATAAAATAATGAAAGCTCTTGTACATGATTATCATATTCTATGATATATTGCCTAATAAAATAAACGCAAAGATAAGTATTTAAGATTAATTCCTTTGAAATTAAAGATTCGTATGGAAAGTTCTCTTTTTCTTTTTCACTCCTTAGGATCATTTCATTGCTTTCCTGCTTGTATCATCGCTTACATGAAATCATGTAGTAATATGCGTATTAAATAAATTTAAATAAACTATATTACAAATTAAACCAAGGTATCGTGTCCTTAAGGACGGATTGTTGGCGTAACTTATTACTTTTGTTATTTAAAAAAAACGGATATAATACAAAAATTACATTAATTATGTACAGATGCTATATAGATTTTATAGATCCTATAGTAGTTTATTTAAAAAAAAAATAAATGATTAGAAGGTACATTTTAAAAAATAATGTTTTAGCGACGTTCCTCTACATTTTTTCAGCTTCGTATATCTTACTCTGTAAACCTCGTTCTGTATTTTTACTGCTTTTCAAAAATATATAATTAGTGTCTTACAAAAGACTATAATTTTGTCGATTTTAAAAATGTCCAATTAACTAATGTCCGATTCAATAGTAATAAAAAAAATGTTTCTCAGTTTAGTATCGTAGCTCAGTGGATTAAATTAAATTAACTGTGCAATTATGAAATTTATTAGGATTAGAACGGTTATGGGAATGTTTGTAGGAAGTATAATAAAAATTCTTTTAAAAATCTTATTAACAGGCAATGTTCCGAGTTAGTGATTGCAAGGATGCAAGATCAAATACTATATTGCCAGCTGCAACGAGGAGACGAGATACCTGTACTCGTAAAATCATAAAATTCTATATACCGTGGAGGATGGAGGATAGAAAAAATCGCCACGTTGATCTAGCGTCATAAATATAAAACGAGCCGTTTTGTTGGTAGCCCGTAAAAAAATCATTGAAAAAATTCGAGAAGAAAGCCATCGGTCGAGCCGAAATATGAAGGTTCGTTCAGAAAATATAAAATATTTAAGCGTTATATTATCTATCCGCTCCAAAATACCTATGGTCCTAAAGTGTTTAACCATTTTCAACGATCAAGTAATTAGAGATATAACTATTAGCGCGTTAAATTTTCTCATCTAACTTCTCCTTTTTCCTTAACTTCGCAAGAGCGATAATTTCTTTACTTTTCAAATATTTGTTTTGTTTTTTGCCTGACAATCATTTTATAAATTATGATATCATACGATACATATAATATGAGGCAAATTCATTAAAATAATACAATATAAGAAGTACGTCGCATTAAATATTTCATAGATTTTTGTGTCACTATGTACGTTCTGTATCAATGCAAAAAAAAGATAGATTTATGTCACCTAATATTAATTCATATTCTATATCTTACATCGGCATCATCAATCACATCAATTACAATTCATCATTTATTACGCAAAATGTCGAATAAAAATGAAAATCAAATAATTTATATCAATATTATTTTGTTCGAATAAAATTCAATTTAAATTCCCCATAAATGTATAAATAAATATTCGTAGTCTATATATCATTCAATCTCATAATTTTCAGGAAAACGATATCTAAAAAAAAAAAGGAAGATTGGTGAGTAGAAATCAACCCCTATCGTAGGATCGATCATTTTCTTCCTCTCTCAGGATCCAAGCGAGGAAGAGGGAGGGAAAGAGAGTTCATCAAATATTAATATCCAATTTATACCTTCGATACAAGGATCATCCCCCAATGTACAAGCTCATCCCTTCGAAATTACGTCGGGAACCCTCGATTCAATAGGTCACTCCCTAACTTAGATGGTGGCCATCTCTTCAAGGAATCACGGTCAATGGCGAAATTGTATTATCTTATCTGATGAGCCATTAGGTGACATTTAAACGACTGTTTCTTAACAATCTATTTGCGGTATTGTCGGAGGGGCAGATTGCGAATAGTCTTCCTGCGTCAAGATAATAAGCATACGATTGCTCCGAGCTTCAGATAGCGATAATAACACGTTATCTATGAGAATGTACGTTTATTTAGCTTCTGGATATTTAATATAATTTATACAAAAGTATTTTATATATATATATATATATAAAGGATATTAAAAACATTGATCGTAACACCTCGTTGCAATTTAATTGGTAGTAAGTGAATTACAAATTTTCCTACTTTTTCCCATTTTCTAATTATTTTCATCTTTTTCTCATTTTCCAAGCCTATGTCTTGTCAATTTTTTCAATTTTTTAAATCTTATTAAAGAACTGTCATACTTTCAGAGAATAAATTTTTCCAAATTATAGTTTCCTACAGATTTAAAAGATCATCCAACGTAAATGTTGAAGAAAAACTGTACATTTTTTTCTTATCCAGGTTTGTAAGTGGGTTGGATGGGTCTTGTTTCGACCGCAGAAAACGGTTTCACAGACCAGATCTTTTCTGTTCCGTCGGCAGAAAAGAAAAAGGCGAGATTTCTGAAGCGATTTTAAACCGTGATCGAGTTTGTCTTGTCGGCGTAAAGAATGTTGACAGCTTCTGGTCACGTCTCCATAGACCACCCGTGGATCCGATCTACGAAGTTACATGTCCGCACGAACTATAGCCGAAACACGGGAGCCCCTCACTTAAACGTATCCCTTGCAAATCGAATTTCGAATTTTACGCGACCTAGACACAGTCGAACATACCAAAAGATATCGAACAAAGTTTGGATGATGTACTGTTTTCCATTTACACTGCCGATTTACCAACCTTAGCAGAGATAACAACAGCGACATTTGCCGACGACATAGCACTACTAGCATCCCACTCAGACCCAATAATGGCATCCCACGCTTTCCAGCGAGGTTTTGACTCTATTCCACAAATGGCGCTTCAAAATTAACGAAAATAAATCCACACGGGTAACCTTCACGCTGCGAAAACAACTTTGCCCTCAGGTGACCATTAATAATATACAAATTCCTAACAAAGATTCACAGATACCTG